GAGCTCCCTCCCGGCTGGCCTGCCTCTGGCCTCGCCATCCAGACTGCCTGGCTTTTTGGACGGCCGGGACCCCCAGGCGGCGTTAGGCGACTATTCCCAGCCCGGGGTTTGCAGAGACTGGGCGGCAGCTGACGGGCGCTAGGGGCGGGCTGCACAGAGGAGGGCGCACCCCGGGCTCCCGGAGCTCCTTCAACACCATGGACAGGTCGCTCAGGGGTGGCGTGCAGCCGGCCCAGCCGCCGAGCTCCTCGGTGGCATTCCGCTCTTTCCAGCGCCTTCCTCCTGGAGTGTGTTCACCCAGCCTCTTCCAAGATCCCTCTGCCTCACTCCACCTGGCCTCCCGCAGCCCCTCGTGGCAGCTGTCCAGGTGCTAAGTAAATGCTGCGGGCACGAAGAAAGCCCAGGACCTGGCTGCCAAAGCAACCCGCCCCCTTCTCTGCCGCCTGAGCCCAAGCAGTCCAGCACCCGCTTGCTCTGGCCAGCTGGGGTCAGCCGCTCTCAGACTGCACCATTTTCATCGCAGCCCACCCAGGCGACGAGGCGCCGGGTCCCTCGGCCTTGTGCGGAGGATCCCGGCCCGGTCTCGGGGTCCTGAGATCCGGCTTCCCGCACTGTGGTGAATGGGGCGAGGGTGGGGGGTAGGGAGCCCGGGTGCCTCGGCTTACCCTCCCTATCTCCTCCTCCAGCCGCGGAGGCTTCCGGGCCTCTCAGGCTCAGCCGCCGCCCGCGAGGAGCGAGAGCCTAGCCTGCGCCCCAGGGGCTCCAGAAATCGCATTGCCCGGGTGTGGGCGCCCGAGGAAGCCGCTGTCACTCGCTCGGCCTCTAGGCGCTGCAGCCTTGGCTAAAACCCACAGTCGAGAACACGGAGCGCGCAGCCAAAAGCTAGTGATGTCATCCGTGCAACGTGAGCCTCATCTCTTATTTTTCTAGCCTTCTTAAAGTTGAACCGCACAATTTCCCAGGCACGAAATGTCTGAGCCTTATTCTGTGGCCAGGCGAGTCAATGGTGTCTAGGTAGGTATGCACTCTATCACGCCCATATTTATGCACATATACATATATGTGGCATGTAGCATGTTTACGTGTATTATAAATTTAGGGTTGGTGCCTACGTCTCCTGTTTCACTTTTGACCCTGGCAAATTCCCTTAAATTCGCCACAGTTCTTTAAAGAAAAGAATGCTTAGAGAACCGTCTTTAACCAGTACTGGGCGAACCCCTGCACCCCGTGTTTCCGCCGCTAGTGTCTCCTGTTCCTTGGATCTTTGTTTTTTTGTTTTTTGTTTCTTTTTCCTCCAGAAAGCTGGCACTGCCTTGCTAGCTACTGGCATTTCCACCTGAAGCAGAGAGGAGAGCAGCCTCGAGGCTCTCGGCCAGCCCTAATTCAGTGCCCGACACAACAACACACACACACACACACACACACACACACACACACACACCTGCCCTGATTCTTCAGCAAGCAAAGGAGACAACTGACTGATCCATTCAAGAGGAAGAGAATCTCAATGGGTTGGTGAGGGCGGTTGTAGATACGTTGGGGGAGCAGGAGTTAAAGCAACCTCGGTGTAGGGTTTGTCATGATCTCTCTCTGACCGCTGGATTCAGCCACTGCAGGGCCTCTGTGAGGTGGGAACGACCGGACGGACTCCAGACCTTGAAGGGGTGGGCACAGGCAAGCAGATCCATCCCCCCCCTCCCCCGCCCCCCGCCTCTCTCACGTGAGACAGCACTGCAAAGGCTGGGAGCCTCCCACCCGGGTCCACAAACGAGGGTTTTCTTTCTAAAGCTCACCCTTCGTTTTCACCCTCTCCAAAGTCGAAGTCCCCCACTGAGGGATAAGGAGCTGCCCGGGGAGAAAGAGAGCGCCCTGGGCACCCAGCTTTGCACAGCAGTGCACCTCCACCATATTCTTTTTGTCTTTATATTTCTCCCTGCATTTTGAAAATCTCGAACAAGGCGTTTCAGTGCCATCTAGTGGGGGAGGGGCGTGCCTCTTTTTTGTTTTGTTTTGTTTTTTGTTTTTTGTTTTGTTTTGTTTTTGAGCCTTGACTTCTGTGATGGGATTTACTTCATGAAGAGAGACAGTCCTTAGGATGCCCGCTTGCTTCTTGGGTGCTTGGATGGTCTAGAAGTTGCAGGCACGTGCTCTAGTCCACACCATCCTCAGAGTTCCCTGGGATTCCCTGATAGAGCTGAGCAACTTCGGCCACGGTGTCTTCTCACCTTCCTGTCTAGTCAGTCCTACTAATGCCCTTGAAAACAGGGATGCGTTTGGTAGACATGCAGACACCTTAAATTTCTAAAGCTATTTCTTCCCTAAGGCAGAGCGGAAGTGCTTTCAACTAATAGGGTCCCTGCATATGACAATGGGAAGGAAGCTGAACCTACAAGGTCAGTGGGAAGTCAGAGCAAAATTAGCACTATAGCCCAGGTCTCTTGGCTCCCTCTCTAGCGTTCACACCAGCTGAAGATCTTTGGCAGTGCGCATGCACAAAAGCACTCCCACCCCGCCGCAACCCACCTGCCCACAGTCCATTCTTGCTCCACTTTTTAACTTTTCCCCTAGCTTTAGGCCTGTTTTGTCCACTATCCTCTGGTTCTCAGAGTTTGAGGCCCAGATCAGGAAGGGGACCTACGTGGGATACTGCCCTCCCCTTTCCTGAACATCACCAACGTTCTCTTTTGAAGTTGTCCTTCATGAAAACACAAAAATCCTACAAATGATGTTCTCTTCAGTGGAATTGTTTTGAGCAGCCGTATAGACATCTATCATGGAGATGACACTGATACCTAGGGCTAAAAAGCTGATGGAGTCTTCATTAGACAGCAGTATGTGTGGTGGTTTGAATAAGAACGGTTCCAGAGACTCATATATTTGAATGCTCAGTCAACAGGAAATGACACTACTTGAGAAGGATTAGGAGGTGTGGCTTTGATAGAGTATGTGCAAGTATGCTATGGGGGTGGGCTTTGAGGTTTCAAAAACCCAAGCCAGTCGCAGTGGCTTTTTCTTCCTGCTGCCTGTGGTTCCAGATGTAGAATTCTCAGCTGTTTCTCCAGCACCATGTTTGCCTGCGTGCAGCCGTCATCAAGATAATGACCTAAACCTCGGAAACTGGAAGCGAGTCTTAATTTAACTTTCTCTTACTAACCTAAGAGTTGCCTTGGTCACGGAGTCTCTTTCACAGCAATGGAACGCTGACTAAGACAGGGGATGTAGAGCACCTACCTAGATTGTTCAACAGTTTGGTTCCTAGCAGAGCAGACACACAACAACAACAAAAAGATGATCCTGTCTAAACTGGGTGGCAGTGGCACACACCTTTAATCCCAACACTAGGGAGGCAGAGGCAGGTGGATCTCTGAGTTTGAGGCTCACCTGGTCTACAAAGTGAGTTCCAGGACAGTCAGGGGCTACACACACACACACACACACAAACACACACACACACACACACACACACACACACACACACACACACACACACCACTTTTTTATTTTATTTTTTGAGGCAATATGCATTAAATTGCCCAGGCTGACCTTGAACTTACAGACTTCCTGCCCCAACCTTCCAGGCACTATTGGCTACCACACCCCACTATGATTTACTCTTTTTAACTCTACAATCTAGCTTCAAATTCCTCCACCCTGTTAACTATAGCATCTCTTTATTGTGTTTCTTCCTGCTCATACTAATGCTTTCCTAAAATCATAAAACCTCAAAATTAGAAGATACTCCAGAGTCAAACAGAAAATGAGTCTTGGGAAAGTTTCCCAGAAAGTGAATGACCAGCTTCTGGTCACACACTTGACACAACAAAGAAGCCCATCTCTGGGCAATATGGACAGAAGTTTCTGTCCTGCCTGGTCCTGCAGGCACTTAGTTCCAAATAAACATACAGAGGCTTATATTAACTATGAACTGTTTGGCCAATGGCTCAGGCTTCTTATTGGCTAGCTCTCTCTTAATTATTAACCCATTTCCAATAGTCTGTGTATCTTGGCTTACTGGAGAAGCCTGGACCTCTTTTTCCTCAGCAGCTATGTCTCCCTGGTGACTCTCTCTGTTCCTCTCTCAGAATTCTCCTAGTCTGGTAGCCCTACCTATACTTCTTGTCTGGCTACATCCTGTGTGTCCACTGGCCAAAACAGCTTTATTCATCAACCAATAAGAGAAACATATATTCATAGCATTCAGAAGGACAAAGGACATTCCCCATCGGGGCTAGCAGCCCACTCCATTACCAGATGATCTGGCTGGTCAAATAGTTCTTCTTTATAATTAGTCAGACTCCATATTCCCCTAACTTCCAGCCATTGGCTCTTATTTTTGCCTTTGGGAGACCCAGAGATGGTGTCTGATCCATCATCCATG